TTGATTTCAGGCATTTTGGTCAGCAACGTCTCCAATGTGCGTTTGTCAAATTGTACATCGTACATCGCTTCATACGACGCACTTACCGGTGCGTAGGCTAGCTTCATCACAGATTCCTCCTTACCAATGTCGTACAGCACACGGACATTATAGTTTTCCCCCAGCTGATCATCTATTTCAGTATCGGTAGACATAGCAGTTTGGACGGAAGGCAGGGTGTTTTTAAAATCTTCCCATGCTTCTCGCGGCATCCGGATCTTGTTCAACGTTTTCAAATCGCTGAAGACGACCAACTGGACCCCCTGTTTGCTTCTGCATATCGACAACAGACTATCTTCACCAAGTTTGAAGAACTGCGACATTTTGATGTTCGAACGTACAACTTAGGTCAGTGAATTGGAGTTTGATTTGACCATTCCAACATATATAGCCTTCTGAAATTGCACGCCTAAACATGCAACACGCCAAACAAAAGAATTGCGCTTGACGTCATCCGTTACCATAGTGAAACGTAAACATTACCCCGACATGCCCAGGCCCGTTCTGTGACGTCATCCGTTACCATAGTAAAACGTAAACAAAAATAGGGAGTCTTGTTTGTTTACTTAAAAAATTGTTTGTTTATTTTGTAAACATCCCCCATTGTTCGCTATAGGTTTTCCATTGTTCAAATGACGTAACATAACAATAGAAAAAAATGGAATTCTTTTGTTACCTATAGTACGGATGTTACTACTCACACGACTACCATTCAGCGCGAGTCCCCTCGGATTTGGATCGATAGAGCGATAGTTTTATTTGGAATGAGCCCTTGTTTGATAGACTCAGCGCATCCTTTCATGTACAAAATACGCTAAACTATCGTATAACGCACGTGTTTTACAGTCTCGTAAGAACTGATAGTGTAAAGCGGGTACCCTCTACCAGGGACACAGATTGATTTTTCATTAGATATTCACAGATATGTCTCTGGATTATTCATATCACATTTTTACAAATGGACATTATTCATCTACGGCCCTGGCAGAGGGTAAAATGCGGGCCCACTATTTGTGCAGCGTCGTCGGTCTGTTCAGTTTCTTTGCAGGTATTGTGTGAAAGGCGCAGATTCTGCTGTCCACGCTCACCTGAAGCATTCTGCTGCCCTCGTTCACCTAACACATTCTGCTGTCCACGCTCACCTAACACATTCTGCTGTCCACGCTCATCTAAAGCATTCTGTTGCCCTCGTTCACCTAACGCATTCTGTTGTGTAGGAGCCCCATTTTGAGCATAAACATAATGTGACACCTTGTCTTATGATTAATACAAGATGCAGTCACTAGATGGCGGTAACATCTCAGATTGCGTTTGGACTGATGTGACAAGAATGGTAGTCTGCTAGAAACCGTAGTCCATTCCCCATAAGGCTAAGGACAATTCTTTCGGAACAGGAAAATTTTATACATGAAAATTATCACACACATGCTGAAATATTTCAGCTTGTGTTTGATAATTTTCATGTTTGATCCAACTACCAAGCTAATAAACAGTATTCCTCAGGAAAATTTTAGTTCACGGCTAGTGAACAGCCAGACAAAACGTGTATCTAGTGTTCTCTTCAAATATCTGTGGACCTGGCGGAGGGTAGAAACCCTGGCGATAAAGGAAAAGTTACCCAAATTTCAAGGTCGGAAATTACCAATATTTATTATAATTTATTATTATTATTATTATTATTTTTATTATTATTATTTTGTACCTTGAGCTTTTTATTTGATTTATTTAATATTTACTTTATTTTTGTATTTGGTAATATAAAAGTTTTAAGCACATTATGTGGTCTGAGCTCAGTCCTATCCTCTTAACACTACACACTTTACCCTCTGAGGATATATTTTGTTTGGTTTCAATTTGATGTGGTATGTGGATGATTACTAGATAAATGTTATATGTAAAAATCCTCATGATGAAAAAGCAATTATTGAGACTTGTTTGTATGACATCAGATTTTGGCTCACGATAAACTACATAGGGACCAGTACCATAGATTATCGTATTTACTATGGCTCGATCTTTCTGCAAGGGGATTATCACTTAATTGTAATCAGCTTAGGCGGCTTAGATGTCCGTAACGCCTACTGAAACTGCCATGGAGTAATTAACTATCATTTGGCAGCTTCAGTATGCGTGCCAGACATCTAAGCCGCTTAAGCTGAAAGAAAATTAGCCAGAAACCTCCGGACATGGATCGGACTTATTTGATCGATCTTGGTATGGGAACCCAGTCAAACACCAAGTTTTCCAGAGACAGCACTACACAGTATCAGAGTTGAAGATATGTTATCACAACAAGCGTTAGAACCAGGGTGTAATTCTCAACAATAAATGTGACATATGACATCACATATTAACAAAGTATGTAAATCACCATATTTCAGTTGGCAACTAATGTCTAAGATTCTTCACCTTATTTAACAGCAAGTAAACAGAGCTATTCATCCATGCATTTGTGGCTTCTAAACATGATTACTGCATCACCCTGTTGTTGTTCGGAATGCCTAACTATCAAATGGGGAAACATCAGTCTATATAGAATTCAGCAGCTCGTTTCTACTGATAAAAAATATGTATATAAGACGTTCAGATTTAAAACTTGGGAGTTCAGATTGAGATACTGAGGGAGCCCGCTCTGGGGAGCTAGGAGACGGGAACGAGTCATGGATGATGGTTGAGAAGTTACAGACTTCACGTAAATGATGTAGTTAAAGAGTGTCAACAAATAAAACATTTAACTTGTCATTATGTGTCCTTTGGGTTTTCTTTGAGCGACTTTAAAGCTGGCACGAACCATAGAATCGCAGATTGCGTTCTGAGCGTATATAAAAGTTAAAATACCTAAAGTATACAAAAGGGTTTCATTACATATTTCTTATCAGTGTCGCAATATTTGGCGGTACATACTAATTTTCATTATTCAAATTGCACACGTCCACTTACGTTATATAATTACAGGTAAGCTCATAAAACGAGTCGAGTGCACAAGCAAGCGACTCCAATCAAATTAATTAATTAATCAATAAATTAATTATCAAGTGTGGAGATTATATTGGTGAACGGTATAAAGCAATACTTTCGAGTTACGGGACCCAGTTCTGCTATCTCTTGTAACAAGTGCCTCGTGGTGGGACGAGTAAGGTCTGTTCTCACGTACACCCAAGTCTACAGTTTGTGCAGACTTAAAAAACTAGAGTTTGAAAGTATTTGGGAAGTTCCAAAACCCCATAAAATAACATGTTAGACATAAGTAGTGGCGGGCGGGTAAGGTAATAACTGCTTAATCATTGACATTCTCCTGTCTTTGTATTGAGCGGTAAACAACATGTCCTTGAACAAAATGTTATCAGATAGCCTTCATAGAATAACTTCGCAGACAATCAGCGTCTGGGTTAATAAACTAGCCCAGTTCTGCTATCTCCTGTATCAAGTGCCTCGT